GCAGGAAGTGCTCGTACTTCTCATTGGCCCTTTTCAGTCGCTTCAAGACCCGCCGGCTCAGGCTCTGCTTGGCTTTGGTGGAGTACTGGCAGTGCCACAGCCCTGCAAGCCTGACACCACACAGAGGGCGAGAGAAAGAGGGGTAGGGGACAGGAACAGTTTGAATTAAAGGAACACAGGAGGTGTTTTGTAAAAAAAAAAAGTTAAAATAGTTTTGTACATTTTCAACTAGTGCCATTGCATTTAAGCCAGGGGCACCAGCATTACCACCATCTGCTAAGCAGGGCTGGGACAGATCAGTGATAGGGAGGACCTCATAAATTAAACCAGGTTGCTGCTGCAGGTGGTGTTCGTGGACCAGCAGGGGGCACTCTTTCTTCTGAACCAGTATTCCCAAACCCATGTCCCCCTTGTGGTGACTGGGGACTCTTTACTGCAGGAGGTGTCATCCTTTGGATGAAATACTGAGGTGAGGCATGACGACCTGTTTTCTAAAGAGCAGGGCTGCTAATCCCAGTGTCCTGGGTGCCATTGCACTCTGTGCAGGCAAGGTCAGATCTAGCTACAATTCTCCCAGAATTCAACTGGTGAAGCAATTTCGTACTGCTCCTCCTGTTCTACCAAGTAGTGAAACAAAAGTGAGTTCCCTCCTCTATGTAATGCAATCGATTCCTTTGGGATGCAAAGTACTATGTAACTGCAAAGGTTTTTGAGGATTTCATATTTTGTTTTGCCCCTGAGCAACGAACACAAATCGTCCTACCCACAATCCCCTCCCGACATTTTCGTAATCGGGTACAACCTCAGGGCGCCCCACAAGCAGGTGAAACAAAACAGACCCCCAAGGGAAAGGGAACAGAGAAGGGTGCCTGGGCGAGTGATGGTCTGGGAGCCTCAGGCGACATTCTGCCTCCATCTTATGTCGGCGGTATGCTCAGAATGTAGCAGATCGACTTCAAAGAGGAATGTGCTGCTGTCTGGAGAACATGTCGGTTGCCCACGCAAACGGACGACACACTTCGCATTGTCACGCTTACGAGGCAACTTCTAACAACACACCCTAAAGGGCCTTGGGGGGTGATCAGTTCGTTTAGCACCTTATCTTGTTCGCTACCGATTCAAAAACCGCGCAGTGTAAAGGCGCCGGTATCGGTCCAGCCTCCCGGACAGCAAGAGGAGAAGGATATTTAAGAGCTACTATGTCACTTCAACTGACCTTGAATGCGATGTCTAAACGCGTAGCAACGATCATCAGATACTTGATTCGTGTGACGTTCCCAGAGCTAACTGGAAACCAATTTAAACCGTTAGTATGTTGTCTTGGTTGCATTGAAGCAAAAGATTTCGCCGTTCATCGCTGCCGATGACAGCGAAGATAGTCCTATACATCTACACTGATAAATAGCATGCATTAAATAACCAGCGATGTTAGATCGGATTTTAATTACTACTATGAAGTGTTCTTATTCCGTACAGGAAGGGAAGATAGGTAACAGCAACATTTTCAGTATTAAGGGGTACACACGTGGCGTTTAATGGGCTTGCAAACCCCGATCCAAAATACAATACCTCAGTTGTCTGGAAGCTAACGTTAAAGATGTGGCGCCCACCAGGACCACATTAGTTCGCATTCCGTACAGTAACATAGCAGCCGAGCCACAGCACATCCCCGTCCTGGACAGCGCCATCTTGGTAAGGGCACCTCTGCAGGGGCGAACCGCCGGAAACGCGGCTGCCATCGAGTCGGAGGAGAAACTTCCGCTATACCGGTACTACCGTATACCTTCGTGAACACGAGCGTGTCCTACAGTAAAGTAACATTGACGCGCGTTTGTTTTTGTATGGGATGAGCAGGTAGACAACAAGGAATAGGGAGGGGAAGGTGTTCTGCTGGTTTTCAGTCTTGCTATGAATAGTTAATGCTAATTGTATTACCTTAATTAATATGCTTGCATGTTCAGACTTTCGGTTAACTTGTTTCTGTACTTAACTCCCGCATTTCCAAAATGCCTTGCTGTAAGGGTACTGCTTCTTTCAATTTCGGCACAGAACTGGACACAGCCTCATCTGAACTTGCTAGCCGCTGTTTCTGACTCAAGAGATGATGCTACGTGATCGGTGTATGATTAACAGACACAGGTGTAAATGATACTGTATCAAACGGCCCATAAAGTCCTTCTGCCGACGTCTAGCTGGGTGTGCGCACCCGCATGAGGGCCGCCCGGTACATGGTTAGTATAATTTACAAATTTCACTCGGCCTTTTAAGAGCTGAAAGCAAATTAACGACTATGTCCAAAATGCAGAGCTGAAATCAATTAACCCGTAATTAGGAACTTGGAGCTGAAACCAGGACTCGGGGATCCCCCACGAACGTTAAAGCATCAGATTAAAGCACCAATTACCCTTATATTTAATGATCCTACGAACTAATCGTCAATCACACCTAATCCGTAAGTATTAATATAGTGTTTATATTATAATACTAACTATACACCCTGTTGGCTTGACCTTAGTCAATACAGCTGCACAAGTACTGTTAACCGTTAACTTTAGGTTAAGGTGTAAGGTGCCACTGCATATTACACACTTGGTACTGAACTCTTGTCACTTAAACAAACAACGCATAATTTGAGGTGGGTAGCTGCGTCAGCATGCGTAGGCTGCAAAGGAACTAATAATAGGTTTATTCCATGCTGAAAAAAAGAAGAAAGAGAACACAACTTTTCGGCCGTGGAGCCTTCTTCAGGTGTGAGAGAGACAGGGCCGGCTCTCACTCCTCCTCCCTCCCAACCTTTGTTCTCCCGCTACTTTACCTTTGCCTACTGCCCTGTCTCTCTCACACCTGAAGAAGGCTCCACGGCCGAAACGTTGTGTTCTCTTTCTTCTTTTTTTCAGCATGGAAAAACCTATTACTTGAACGCATGATTTGAGTTTAGCACATGCGCAAACCCGGAACAGCGGGGCACCGGTATAAGGGGAGGGGCTTGTAACCGAGCAGGCCAATTGGGCTGTTTGGAAGGCCCCGAGTGATGACGTAGCTTCTGAGCCCTTTAAATTTGAGTGGACGCGGGCTGCCAGAACAGTAGAAGGTAGCTGTGCGAAATCTTGTCTCGCGGCGTGGCTGAACCGTAAGTATGGGATTTGTCTTTTAAATATTGTTGGTAATTCAACATTTACATGTTAAAGTAATATTTATAGTATGTCAGGAAATTATTTCACTTTTCTTCTTGCTCGGCCGTTGAGTGATGGTTCCTGCGTGTTACCGAAACCGTTAACTCGTTTTTATACCAAATGATTTTTTTTTAAAGTAATCCTTTTTTTTACGCACTTTGCTATGTCACTTTATAATTTAAGTGGGGTTATGAAGCCTATTACCTTGTGGATCAGGGTTCTGGGTACTGCATGGCCTATCGACAGATAAACGTGGCTCAAAATGGTTCAACATTGCACCGTAACAATTTTGTAGCTGTAAATATTTCCTTGCCCATTTGTACATCTAGTGTTCAGCGTGTTCGCCCAGTGTTGGGCTAGTTCAGGCCTGCAGGGACAGCCGAGGGGTTAATGCGACCCAAATTCGGCTTTTAAGTCCATTTGGAAAACGGGTACCTGTGTTAACCCTCGCTCCTGCGGTTTGTCATGCGAACATCTTCCTGGAGTTCTCCCAACCTGTCGAGGTCTTCTGCTCCGCGTAAGAACTAGGGAACCCAAACTATGCGTTTTCAGGTACTTGTACTTGATTTTGGTTTAATAAGCCAGGCCGGTTGCATTTAAGAATCTCCTCACCAGGCTTATTCCAGCCACTGACTGGTGATTAAAGACCTGTAAGTGTACGTTATGCACTCGCACAGCTGTTAACGTCGCGGGCATCTGCTGTGTTCTGAAACCCGGCACCGTTAGGCTTCATGCCTTATTAAAAGTAGGAATTCATTGTTCTTGAAATAGAGCCTCTGGTAACATTTTAGAAGTCTGTTCCGAGTTTAAAGTCACTAAGTGATGTGCTTTTTTTTTTTTTGCCAAAACCCGAGATCTAAAAACCAGTGTTGTCCTCTGGTTACCGGTATGCTGTGTGCATGTGCCGCAGGTGTTGTTGAGCAGGCTTTCTGTCTCTTGCCCTTATCAGCTTCTGTTTAGGTGTTAAATTCTGGTACTGGCAGGTGACTGACCCCGAGACGCTCCAAGACATGTCGGCCCAATGGAACAACGGACCTTCCTGCTCGGGGGGGATGGGACCTGCCGACTCAATCAACGACTGTGGGCGAGGTGCAGTGGTTCTGCTGGTTTGGGACCAGCTCCTGGGGGTGATGTGTCCTTGAAGACTTCCTTTATTGCCATTTAATTCACAGTGTGCTATGGGGAGGTGACATGTCATTTCAGTAATTCCCTTGTACTTGTATAGTGCTTTTCTGGACACTCCAGTCCCCCTGGCTGATGTGATGCCAGCCACGGTGTATTGGTACATCCACCACACATCAGCTATTAGTGGGGAGGAGAACAGAGTGAAGCCAGTTATTAGGAGACCATTACTGTTCAGGACTGGGGGAGGAAATGCCCAGGTGTCCTGGCCATAGCACCCCTACTCTTTGAGAAACTACGTGGGGTTTTTAAGGACCTCTGTGATTCAGGACCTCTGTTTTGTCTCGTACAGTATAGCGTCCCCATCACTTTACTGTGGCATTAGGGCCCATGCAGGGTGAGCACCACCTACTGGCTCCACTAACACCTCTTCCAGCAGCAACCTTAGTTCCTCCCCAGGAGCTCTCCCATCCAGGTACTGGCCAAGCTCAACCCTACTTGGCTTCAGTGGGCTGCCAGTTGAGTTGCAGGGTGATGTGGCTGCTGGTCACTTCAAGGCTGCCTTCTTTTTAGATGGCAGAAGCCCCAGTATCTGTAGCTAGGACTTGCCTTGCCTTTGTTCTGAATGACTTTTTCCTCTTAGTTGACGGCTCCGATACTGCCGATCCTGACAAGCTTGTCCAGTGTCCCTATGACAAGAATCACTGGATCCGGGCCTGCCGCGTCCCCTACCACTTTAACAAGTGCAGGAAGGTGGGTTTCTGGGTGCTGTTGGCTGTGTTAAAGCTTGATCACCCCCAGAAGCGTTTAAAGTGCTGTACTTTGCACTTAATGTGGCTTAATTGCATGACTGAATTGCACCCCTGCTGCTCCTCACTCCAGAACATCAATCATGTTTATCCTGGTGTTCTCATTAGCTACTGGTGTCACATACCATCGGTTGATGGCAGACTTATGACCACTGCTTCTGTTAGAGCTCGTTGGTGTGAGACTTGAAAATGATCAGTTTTCTCCTCGTCCTCTTCATCAATGGGTCCTGAAATTCAGTTGCCAGGCAGCATTTAGAGTAGGACACTCCTCTTAAATGTCTGAATGCATTAGTCTTTTAACATGAGCCTTGTGACTGGCTGTATCTGTGGGTATCTGGGCCAGAGTGTTTTCTGCTTGGTGTGATGCATTTATGCAACACCATTTACAGGCCTTTTACATCTCATTAAATAGCCAGGCAGGCTCAAAGACTCCTGTACAACCCTGCTTTTCTCCAGAGTACCCCCCTGTGCTGTGGCTTGTGGAAGTTAAAGGAATTGCAACATCTACCATGTCTTATTAAATGAGTTGCATTCTACAGGGAAATCTCCAGGCTTCCCTTTATTCATGCCTGTAGTCCCAGTGGCCAGGTCCTTATTGCCTTGAAAGTGCAGTGGTACGTCTGCTCTGAAGCTTTCTGTAACCAGCACACTGATTCTGCACACTGTGCAGTGGCTTTTGTGAGAGCTGTCTTATCAGCTTTAGGGTTGTACTTCTGGGCTCATGCTTGCAGTGACTGCTTTTACTCAAAAGCAGTGAGCATTATTGGTGGGCTTTAACTCTGCCTTGACCTTTTTCCCCCAGAACCACCCAGAGCTAGCCAGTAAGCTGAAGACCTGTCCTTTCAATGCTCAGCACTTGCTCCTACCAAACGAGCTTGCCCACCACATTGCCAACTGTACTGATGGGCGCACTGTTAATCTGGATGATCGTAAGTTGAGGGAGTGTTGAAAAGTTAAATACCTACAGGATCCCAGTTTCTTTCAAGAAATGGCTAGATACAATTATTTGATTCATTGGTTACTAATGGGTAGGCTAGAGGGGCTGGATGGTCTTCTCATTTATAACCCCTTATATTCCGAGATTAAGAGGTCCATATTTCTCATTGCTCATCAGAAACATTTATTGCAGAGGTTGTATAGGGAGGGTCGGGGAACTAGTCAGGTGAAATCTGATTCTCATGAATCGGATCCCTTTTAAGTACGACTAGACGGTTTGTTCCAGTCCCTCCCTCCTTTGATGCAAGATGTTCATAAAAGGGAATGCACTACTTTCATCAGCCTCATTGGATAAAGCACTCCAGATCTTAAACTTGGCCCTTGTATCCAGCCTCCCTGAATGATCTTCAATCTGATTGGCACTTAATGCTCCTTTAAATTGTAGGAAGTACTGCTGGATCTTGAAAGAATCTAGTGAACCCTCTTTCGAGCTCTCGGTTGTAGCATTGTGCTTTTTATAACATGGCGTCCAGACCTTCTGGTCCACAGCAGCTGCCTGCTTGAACCCTTAACTAGCATGAACTAATTTCCCATTAGAAATTAGTTTAACAAATACTTGGCAAGCCATTTCAGTGCGTCTTAAACTTGTCTAGAATACGTTGCACTGATTTGCTCTCTAATTGTATTAGACCTGTATATCACAGGGCTGATTTCCTCAGCATTGGCCTTATTGCTTAATATTTGTGGCAAGTGAGACTCAATCTGGGCTAAGCTCCACAACGTCTTCCAAGCAGACCACACTGAAGTGCCAAGCAAGCTGAAAGTTCCTGTGAGCTCCTGGCAGCCACCTGAAAGCGAGGAGAACTGGGAGGAAGGTAGCTAGACAAACCTTTTTTTTTTTTTTTGCATGTACAGTATATGTTAAGATGTGTAAACTGGGCTTGAAAGCCTTGAACCTGGAGAACTCCATGACCTGTTAGGTCCCAATTGGCCTTCAAACATTAATGGGTGTGCTACAAAACTATTTCTGTCATTGGTTTGGGGGGGGAGAATATTGAGATGCTTGGTGTAGAAATAGCCAGCACTAAGGCTTAATTTCAAATCCGTATCTTGGGAAGGTCCTAAAAATGCAGTTACTGATGCAGTGTCCTGTTACTGATCTCTGTGAATAAGGGTGAATTAAGTACTGGCATAGTGGACCCTGAACACTTGTAGTATTGAAGATTGTTGACCTGTGAACTCCCAAGATGTTAACTACTTGGCATTTTCCAGCCTGAGGCACTTCAGTCACTCTAGTCTTGTCTAGTTCTGGATGTGTGAAAGGATAGCGATCCGAGATAGTGTATAGTAGACCGCCTTTGACATCTGACTATCCTTGTGTTTCAGAGCTTGATGAGCAGCAGGAGACCTTTATCTGGGGAGCATCAGCATCTGGTTCAAAGGAAGTCAAGTAAGTCTAACTATCCGTGATGCAGCCTGGGTGTGAAGATCTGCAAGAGCCCTTTGCCATGTTGGAGTCCATAATGATTCTTGACAATTGCTTTGACTCCCTGAAGTTGTGATATGACTGGGTGGCTCAAAGAAGGTCGTCAATTTCTTTCTTTTGAAAGAAATTCTTAACGTTTTCCTAACTTGCTAGTATCTAAACTAGCAATGTTAAACTAGTAATGTTAAATTTCAGCTGCCAAAGAGGACAAGTCTGACAAAGTTTTAAGTTAAACTGTAAAATGCACTGTGCCCTTCAGTGATGGGTGTTTATGGACCAGTAAAAATACTGCTTTAGTTGGATGAGAAGTAATGGCACTTTAGTCGTGTGACCATCTACATTCAGAAGCTGTAAAGAGCATAGGAGTGGAATGGACCTCCCAGTCCAGTGAAGAACCCTAGCATGCTTTTTAACCCCACCCCCGCAGTCTGTCACTTGTTAGTTCTGGAGTTGGCATTGGTCTAAGACAGTAAGTCCTGTTTCCTGCACTCCAGATCTGATTCCAGCACCTGCATCCCTCCTGGGCTCCGAGCTCCCAGGACGCTTCCTTGGAGAAAGTAAGGTAATCCAAAATTTGACTTGTTTTCCTGCTTGGTTTTATATGTGAGGGAAACCATGTCTTGTACTACTTTTTTTTTAAAATCCTTTTAACATTGTAATAAGCAGCGGTGCAGAGTTGGGTTATCAACATAGCCTGTAAGCCCCTGACCAGTAACTGTATAATGAACACTACCCTCATCCCTCTTGGTCCGTTCTACATGTTTGGCCACTTTGAATCCACTACCATCTTGGTTTGCAAACCTCTATTGTGCTTTGAGATGTCTTCCATTTAAAAAAAAAAAGAGTTGCCCAATTCTATATAGGGCCATTCTCTCTGCAAAATGCAGTTTGCTTACATGTTTTTATTTCTCCCCAGGACTGGCCTTGTGAGGACACTGATTCTACACTTTTAACTTTTTACTTTTTTTAAATTTTTTTATTTCTCCAGGGAATGCACACAAATGTTTTAAAGGCAGTGTCCTGCCTTTTGGGAAAAACAATCATAGCTGTTAAATTGGTTCCCCTTTTTAGTTTAACTCTGAGATTTTAGCTGCATGCGAAGCCAGTGGAGTATGTGCTCTTTCTGTAGTGATTTTTACTTGAATAAAAATAACCTGATTTGCCTTTAATGCATGATCATCGATATTCCTAGAGCTACTGCTTATAATGGGCTAACCTTAGGACGGGGAAATGTGTAGGGTGACTCATTAAGCCCGTTAAGGACTTGATTACTAGTTTTGCATCCTTAAAAAGGAATGCAGTTGTAAATCTTGTTCCAACCTGCATCTTAATACATCTTGGGCTTGAGTACACCGGTAAGAGGAAAAGTGCAGAAAAAGGAAGGTTCTTGAGTTAAATAACTGAGCCAAAAAGTGTGCCAATGGCATGCTACCATCACACCTCTATAAGTGTTAAGAGGTAGTCTGAGTGCTAACTGAGTGGAGACTGTTTTTTTTATTGGTTCACTTTATTCATGTTTTCCAACCTATTGCAATGGAAACTCTCTCACCTTGAAGGTGACCTACCACAGGACTGCTAATGTAATGCTATTCCATGCCACCCCTTGAGCTGCCAAGGCATGAGTGTTGCACATCATGGGTTTTTTTTTTTTTTTTTTGGGGGGGTGCAAAAGCATTTGTAGCAGTGCAAGCAAGCCTTTTAAAACTGGCTGGCTGGTATTAGCTGCACCCTCCAGGAAATATAGTCACCCTCCCCGTGTAGTGATGGCTGAGCCGGCTCTCGAGGGTGCTCACTTCCACTTCGACAATGGTGGGCTCCAGGGGGTCCCCCTCCCCGAAGAAAGCAATGGAGTAGCTCCTGCCGGCACAGCACGTGGCCGTCCACACAAAAGCCGGCCGGCTGACCCTCGCGCCGACCCCCTGCTCGGGCACGACCCCGGCGACCACATAGACGTCTGTGGGGGCAGTGCAGTTGCTGGTCGTCTTCGCGTGCACCATGGTCACGGGGTTGAGGAACCAGACGTTGCGGTTGAAGCTGTGGTACATGGGCGCCTGGGCGGTGAGGGCGAAGGTGGCCAGCAGCCCGCTGCTCCCCTGCAGGTAGTTGGGGTGCAGGCGTTGGCGGTAATAGCCCAGCCATGTGTAATTGTCGTCTGTGGCCTGGCTCTCTCGCACCTGCTTCTTGAAAGCTGCTCTGGTCGTCGGTGTGGACATGAGCTGGAAGGTCTCGTTCATGGTCTGCATCTGAATTGGCCAAGTGACATCGACGAGCTGTGACGGAGTAATGGTTTTAGTGGTGTGTACAGTAATGTACTTGCCCTAACATGGGCAGGCCTGAGTACAGACCACTGCTGTACACCTGCATGATCTATGGAAACCATAGGTTAGGGTGTACACTGAAAATAGTCTTACACATCTAACACCACACTCATTCGAGGCCCCTCTGGACAATTCTGGATCACCCAGATGGCATCTTGTACCTCCAGCAACCTTATTTACTGTATCTCTTGCCGTAAATGCCCAGCCATCTATATTTTTATTTTTTTTTAGAAACCGGAAGGAGACTCGGAGATCGCTTCACAGAACACGGCAGGGCTGTGAAGATTTAAAGATCTCTCCAAGCCCATTGTTTCTCATTTCACCTCTGACAGCCATGACCACTCTAATCTCTCCCTCTGTGTTCTCAAAGACAGTTTTCAGACCTCATACATTCCCAAGCTACAGCAACCCAAATTATCCTACAGCTAGGATCACACCTTCCCCCTTCTCTCACTGATAAGTCTACATTTTCTCCATTCATTGGAGGTTTCATTTCATACCTCTCTACACCTACCCTGTTTTCACACCTCTTGATTAGCCTCTCTTTCTGTCCCCCTGCTCCCACCTCTCACTCTTCCTCTCTCCCACCCTTTGTTCTCCTGCTCCATTACCTTTGCTTACTGCCTTGTATTCTTCACACCTGAAGAAGGCCGAAACATTTTCTTAATTTCAACATGGAATAAACCTGTCGTCTTTCAAAGTGTACGTGGAACGACAGCCTTTGAAACTTAAATGTATAAATAAACTTGTGCTGTTTTTTTAAATAAAGGTGGACATCACCTTCCACCTCCAACAGATTTGTTTCTGCTGCACACCTTTTGTGTGCTAGTGAAGCTGGTTTGTGTATTATCCACACTACATGTTCTGGGTCTGTAAACCGAGCCTGATGAATTTCTTTTGCAGTCTTTATTAGTTTCAAGGTGTTGCTCTTTTACAACATTCATGGCTAGATTTAAAAAGTATTTCACGCCCAAGAAACTGAAGGCAATCACCCCTAAAGTAAAAGTGATCCTGGGTTTTGTCCTGTGTAATACTAACAAAAGAAGGGTTGAGTATAGTAGATTGAAAGGGCTTCACTTTAAGGGTTGTGCAAAGTATGTTTACAAACCATGCTAATCTGTAGTTTTGCTGTACTATTTCTCTTAAGTACAAGACTAGCACCCAAAGAGTGAAGGTGTAGCCGCTACTGTCTTAGTTTCTCTGACGTAAATACTTTACCTGCGGTTCGATGTACCATTCTCCCGTTTTCCAGTAAGCTTCACCGAAGCAGGGCAGCTGGATGATGTAAGCCGAGTAGAAGGGGATGTGTTTTTCCCGGTCGTAGAGGGTAGCGTAGTGTGGTCCTCCGCCCAGTATCTGACATATCCTGGCAGTGGTGTTGCTGTGCCTGAACCCCTGGGGCTCCTGGCCCAGGTAGAAGAAGATTATGCAGGGGCTGGTGGCGAAAGCTGGCACAACCCACCCTGGGACTCTGCCAGCCACGGCGCAGGCAACCAGTGCTAGAAACGTCGGCTTCATCCTCGGTCCCACTAGCTGACTGTGAGGCTCTTCATTTGAGCTGTCTGCCTCTATAGATAAGCCTTTATTTGAATGGGAAAGATTAATTGGTTTCTGTGTGCAATACTGTAGTTTGACCGGTACTGCAGAATCTCTGTTTTGGCTATTCTCTCACTGATAAGCTGTATTTTGTAGCAGTTCAGGATAATGACAGAGGGGAAGTATAGTACCATAGGTAAGTGTAGTTTGTACTGTTGAGAAGATACTCTTAAGTTATCAGCAGGCCCTTGCCTGTGTCCTGCTGCTAACCTATCCATCTCTTACAAGCCCAGAGTGAAAGCCAATGAGCGTTGGTTAAAGCTCTTGCGCTTTGTATCTTAGCTTGTTGGGCTTCAGTTCTGGGAGTAAGAGATCCTCACAGGGCTCCCAGTGCTGTCCGTTCTGAAGTACCCAAGGGTACCGGCTGCCTGGGGGGGTCACCACTGCCCCC